TATATATATATATATAAAAAGCAGCACACACTGTTATTTCAGAGTTTTAACTGTAGGAGATGCCTTGTGGTAATTGTTAAAGAGGATGCTGCATACCTGGGATATGTCAAAATGACAGAAAATAAAAATGCGTTGAAATCTGAATGGTAGAAGATCTCTGATTAATACCAGAGCTGAAGTACTAGTAATTCACATGCAAGCATCCTGGCCTTCCTTTATCTGTGGCTGCGGCTAGAGAAGCTGCCATCAGCATGGCTGAGCAGTGTGTTGCTCTGGAGAAAAAACCTGCCCCTTGGAAAAGCTCCCCTTTATTCCACCATCCACTGCTTCAGCTGTCCCAGAACAACAAAGAATGGCAGAACCACAGAATTGAAATCCAAGGAGAAGTAAATTAATCACCTCTCTTCAAGGGCATCTCACTTTCCTGCAGACCCTGTTCTTTCCCATGATAGCTTTGTTATAAGCAGCACTGTAGATGGTCCTCTCAAGCAATCATGCCATAATTATTTCTACTGACATTTTTCTTCTTCATACAAGCCAGATAAATCCTTTCACCAGCATATCTACTGTAAACTAGCCTGACTCTGAACCCTTTCTTTAAAAGTTCTGCCTGCATATAATGAACTTTCAAGTGTACACATATATATTTTTTTACAGTGGATTCTTAGTGACACATTTAATATGTCCTTGATTCATTCCTAGCTCATGATTCCTGGCTTTATGGTACTAAGGTTTCTTATGCAGATATCATGCCTGATCCTTGAAAAATGCTAGGTTCAACAAGATTCTGTCTATCAGCTGTTTTGTACCCTCGAGCACTGACTCAGCCTTTGGATGCATGCTACTGCTTTTTCTACTGGAAAACACCACAGCACGTCACTGCTGATTAGAGCTTCCTAACAGGAAAGTTAGCATTTAGAGGTTTCAGAACAATACGTTTTGAAATCTGAGTTCTGCCTTACAGAAAACATGTCATCCATAGAACCATACAGTGCATTCATATAGCCAATGTAAGAAAATGAGCCTGAAACTGAGTCTATAGTGGTTTTTCTGCAGTACTGGTCATAGGGAAGGAATCAGAGTTCATAATGCAGGACTCAGAGAAAATAAGTAGGTCCCAACAAAGCTTATCTTGTAGCTCTGAGGCCAGAGTTATTACAGGGGAGATTCCAGTAAGCTGGAGTCAGAGAGCTGTCATCTGAGATCCCTGAACAAAAGGCAACGAAAACTCTTCGTTTCCCTCTGGTTGAAAGGGCATAGAGGTCCCAAATTTAATTTGTGATGCAGTTTGTTGGCACAACTGAAAAAGTTCTGGGAACCCGAGGCTGAGCTGTGGGTGATGGGAGTAAGTTTTTCAAAATCAGAAAGCAGTGCATTGCCCCAGGACAGACTGTGAGATCACCATGGTGTTCTCTGATGACTTAACCTCTTGGGGAAAATCCAGGAACAGTGTCTGGTTTACACTCTGACGGGTATGGACAGATTTCCTAATGTGGAAATCGGAGCACATCTTATCCCATTTTGGAGCTTGGGTGCATAACTGGGCCTAGAAATTGTAAAATGTTCCACAGTCAGACAGCCCTAATAGAGCTTCTGTCATAGCTGAGAAGCTAGCTGAAGAATTTTGTAATTTTATGAAATAAGAGGGGAAAAAAAAGGAAAAAAATCCCTTACTCAGGATGGAAAGCCTGACAGAAAATATTGTCCTGAAGGTTTTGGTGGGATGTATAAGGGTATTCTGGATCTGTCTCAGTCAAACAGGGATATTGTGTTAACCAACCCTAGATCCTCAGCTGCTATACACTGGCATCACTCCATTGATTTTAATATCACTCTATCAGTTTACACTAGCTAATCATCCCTATCAAATGTTTAGCAAATGCCTAGAAGCATTGCCCACTCTCCCCCGCACACAAGCACATCACTCTCTTGATTTTCTCTTTCTAACAAAACCTCACAGTTTTTCCTCCTGTTGGTCTCTGTATTTATTCTTTCCCTTGCTAGGTTACCCAGTGAAGTTTTATTCTTGAAATTCTTCATCATTCATGCTAGTTCACATCTTTTGTTTTTATTTATCTGAATAGAAGGTCTCTCTTCACTGCTTTTCTTATAATAATTTTAGTGGGGTTTTTTCAGCATCTCTTTCTTGTAGTCTATTACTGGTTTGTTTCTATGTCATCCTCATATTTATAGGCTTCCTTTTCTGGATGTTTCTTTCCTATCTACAGGTACGATAGCTAAGTGAAGCATATTTTGCTTTCACAAAGTAGTTACTGGCCAACAAGATCAGGATATTGCAATAAGCCTGATTAGAAAATTTCCACAAGTAAGACAAAATCCATTCATCAGCTTACGAATTGTGAATTAGTTTTGTATAGCCCTCTTCCTCTTTATTGTATGTCTGTACACCATTTGAACTTGTTCATCCAAGTATATCTGGCAATTAAAGCGAATGCCAGGATATGACAGGAGAATATGTAGGAAAAGCTTATCTTTATTACTCATTTCTCAAGAAACTGAGAAGAAATACAAAGAAAAGGTCGATAGGGTAATGGTCCAGCAAAGAATTGTACTGTATTCCCTGGCTTCTTTGAAGTGAATGGAAGTTTTGCTACTGGGGTCAACAGCATAAGGACTATACCCTTTCTTCTTGCCCTTACCCACACATGAAATTCTCACACTCTCACAATGCTTTTCTATCTGAGTTCCTAACAGACTTGAAAACATTTATATTCACCAAATCCCTATGGTATAGGGAAAGTGCCATTATCCACATTTTACGCACAACAGTTTAGGTTGGAGTTGGCTAAATGCAGTCTAGTTACTGAGGTACTGACTTGCTCACTATGGGAAATGCAGAAAACATAACTACAGAGATTTAGTTGATGGGTTAGGTTGTTGTCTGGATATTTCCTCTGAAAATATAGAAAAACTGTGCTGCTTAGTGAGGTATCTCAACTGGATAAAGCTTGGAGGAAAAAATTCAAATCTGCTTTACCCACTGCAGCTACAGGGGAAAGTCTGTGGCTGAAATATTACACAAGCATCTGCTGAATCCAGGTGCAGGACTATTCTTGCTCCTCTTGTGTGTCTTTTCCAGAAATTTCACTGCTGATCAGCACTATTAGAATAGGGTACCAGTCTACCAATTCTGAACTAACTCTACCTGTAAATTCAAGTAAACAATTCCAAGTAAACGCTGTTACCTTTCAAAATGTATCCTTTAATGGCAAGAGCTTTTGGTAAGAATGCTTTTATAATAAACCCAGTTCGTTACATGGGGAGAGAGAGAGAGAGAGAGAAAGAGAGAGAGAATATACCATGACCAATACTTTGTACACAAGTCTGTGGTTCATGACATGTCAATGATACTTGAGCTGTGACACTTGAGCTAGAGATCATCAGCTACACCTCTGGGACTGCCAGAGAAGTATACACATTTGATCTCTCGTATTTGTATTGCTTTTAATCTTTCTTGCACTATCTGTAGATGAGACACAGTCATGGTTCTTATTGTCATTGCACAGGAATATGATGATGCTTTCTCTTCAGTCAAATACATTGACATGAATTTAAAAAATAAACATTCTCTGCTAGAATTATTCTCTAACTCACATGCACGTTATCTGATGGTTTGGGTGTTCTGTAAGGCTGAGAAAGACTCATCTATATACCAAAGAGGAGTACTACAGGCAGAGTAAAACACAGGACTTACCCCTATTGTTCCAAAACTTTCAGGCTTTCTTCTTATTTTCTTTTTGCAAAGGTGTCTCCATAACCATTTGATCAGATACCACAGAGACTTTGGGCTTGGTATGACATTAAAAGGAGTGGGCAAAGTTCCTCCTTCTTCAAAGTAACTCATCCAGAGTTTTGTTCGAGCAAACTTCCATTCAATGTCTGCATGATCCTGCACACAAGAAACACAACATAAGCACAAATGTTGCTGTAATTAAGGAGGTGAAAAAACATCTACAAAAATCTGAAATCCTAAAACTAGAGCAACCCTGAAATACTAATGAATTTTCTTTTTAAAATACTGGCATCTTCTTTTGACAGAAGGTCTTTAACACAAAGCAAGCTAAGCTGCTTTACTTCAGTAAAGAGATATTAGATATGTACAGTATATATCCACTTTCAACATTTCCTTCCTTGCTACAGGGTTTTAAATAATTAAGTCTTCCAAACAACAATGGATAATTACAAGCAGAAAAATGCTACATTTTTGGAAGTGATATTTTGTTATAATAGCAGCTCATCATTATTCCACATAGATCACTCTAATTACTCTACTGCATACCAGCTTCAACAAGTCTGAAAGTCTCATGCACTCTCTTAGTAATTGCCAGCCCCAGAAAATCACATAGGTTATCCAACAAATCACGAGGCTACTTAAAAGCATTGAGTATCTATTTTTCCTCCTACTTCAGAATTATATATTTGGCATAGGTTATTATTATTATTATTATTATTATTATTATTATTATTATTTTAATTTGAAATTTTCTGTCTTCTGGAGTCTATATAATACTATACAATTTTGAAAAGTTTGAAAAAAATGAAAACTGAAATTCATGGAAAGATTGCTAAATCCTAGCAGCTGAACAAAAAATTTAAATCACTAATATCAGATTTGGACAACAAATATAGTAGCCAAGAACTTAAACTACAAGTCTAGTGCCAGCCTTTAGTATTTAGCTATATACACAGTAATCAAAACAGTAATTTAGAAGTTGTAGTAGGAAAGGTATTCTACCTGCAGTCTGAATTTTTTTGAATGATAGTATGTTGTGATATTGTGTACCAGACTTTACCAACTAGCATTATATAAACACATGTAGTCAGTATTTCTTTTGTGGAAAAACTTGTAGCTTCCAGATTAGAAAAAAGGCATCTTTTAAAATCTTGAGACTGTGAATCTTTCCTTTATTTGTTTGCTTTCTGCATGATCATATTTCAACTATCATACAATGAAGTAGTGTTTATTTTCATTAGTCTCCTCAATAGATAGCCAAGAAATAAAAACAAGCCAATACCTCTGATAACGATAAAGTCAGTTTTCATTAAAGGAGAAAAGAGGACATTGCTGAATGAGAAGTCATGACCTTTTGTTTGAATTGTTAATGAGTCCAAAATTGTCCATGAAACATGGGCATCCAATTTCTATTAATTGTATATAAAAGCTATATAAAAATCAAAAAATAACAGCCTTTTAAAGGTTAATAAATATAGTGTATTAAAAATAAAGCAGAGACAGAACAACCTTTGGCAGAGTTTCTTTCTCAGGAGAGGTCCTGCACAGTGCAGCTTGGGCAGGGCTGTAGCCCATGTCACTTGCCAGAGGCTTCAAGACTCCCTTCTCAACCCCTGAGATGGCTTCTGCAGCAGGGCCATCTCTCCCCCATTCAGTGTTGTGGGGAAATTCCCCTTTGCTCAATCCAGCTGGGGTCTGGTTTCTGTGTCTTTCCAGAACAGTGCAAAAGAATTAGAAGAAATCAGAGAATTTGTCCCAATATCCTGTCTGTAAAAAAGTTTTACTGCCAGAAAAATAGGAGGTAGGAACAGAGAGAAGTTATATATTATAAATGACCTAAGGATAAGGAAAAACTTACAGCAATAAGTTGGTAAGAATTATTCATCATGGCTATAAGCATGTTGAGAAGAACAACCAGAGAGATTACATTATAGGTACCAAACATGGTGGCCCCAACAAATTCAGTAAATTCATGCCTTGCTTTCACATTGGTCACATAGAGATTGATGAGTCCAAATATAGACCAGAATAATGACTGCAGCGTTTCAAATAATCTGAAAAACAAAACCCAAAAGGAATAGCTGTATAATAAGAATACATGTACTTTTCAGATTGTTCAGTTTTTCCCCAAACACACAAAAGTCCTTGACTTGATTGAGATTAATGATATTTATCACAATAGAGGCAACATATATGGAATATCTTTCTAGTGAAACAATGGCTTAATATTTCAAATCTAACCCTCTATATATATAATACTGAACCTATAAATAAGCCTGCAAGTAAAAGGCTGATTTTAATTCAAACTTCTGAGGGATAAATATAGTTTTACAGATCTTATTTTGGATACCTACCTTTGAAGTATTTTGACCCTTTGCCTTGACCGTAGAGGGTAGAATAAGGATCCAAAAGTAACTCTATGATTGTGTTTCACCAAGATGTTAAAACAATTATGGTATCCTCATACCTACTTGGAGTTGTCAGTTTGTGCAATTTCTGATTTGTGTTGAGAGTCATTGAGATAAAACAAGTTGTATAATTAGAAAGATATTATTATCATTAGGGTATGTTTTGTTTTGCAAAGAATGGAGTCATTAAAAAGACAAACATGCTGCTCTCAAATGAAACTTGTGCTTTTATAACTAAATTATATGATGTGCCCTTAGCGAAGTATGGGATAATAGCTAGGAAGCTAAATTAACAATAACCAACTTTAAAAAAATGTTCTGCAACTAGATAGCTTGACACAATTTCACTTTTGTACAATGTCAGCTACACTATAGTGTCATAAGCATGGGCCCTGGTTAGACCCTTTGCCCCTGAAAAGTTTGGAGCAAAATTTTCTGCTTGTCTAGTCCTATCCTATATCTTGGGACTAATCAGAGTGAGCTTTCAACATGTCCTCCCTCCTGTTCCTTCAACTTGGCACCAGAACCAGGTTACCTGGACAGGATGCGTGGGCCACCAGTTCTGTCCCCACTGCACCCAGAGCAGGGAGGCTGCTGAACTGCTGGGACTTACACTACCCCGCGCAGTCCTGCGCGATGGGACCCACTGTCCAGAACTGGGCAAAACTTAACCCTTCAGCCCTTTCCCACCATGCGATATCATGCCTGAAATGTAACTTTGTTGTGCAATCCAGTACAGTGCTGCCCTACAGATATACCTGAGAGGGCAGTACGCTTTTACTTATAGAAACAGTAGGTCCTGAATCTCTGCTTCTGTAGTATAGTGTATATGAGTGCTAAAATACTGCTCTGGAGGCTTTTGTATGGTTTACACTTGTCTGAGCACAAATTGAACAAGGAGTATTCTCCCCTGCTCACAGCTGCAGAAAAGGCTCATAACGCATCATGGTTTGCCTTGACACCATCTTCTGTCATTAGTACCAGTAGTTACCCACTATTTCCCAGATGCATAATATTGCTCCTCTCAGTGTTCAGTTCTGAGAAAGTTCCTTGTGCTTTTCTGTTCAGATCACTCAAAATTTAGACCTGCATGAGATGTTAATAACATGCAAGATAAATATGCTGTGCCTGAGAAAAGTAACTTGATTAAGATGATATAAAAGGTGCTACTTTTATGGTTTTATTTACTTTGAGAAGGAAGCCATTGGTAACAAATATATTTTAAAAAACACCTGAATTCATAGAAGGTATCAGGGAACAGGTATTTATAGCAGAGTTTGATTCAGATTGGAAGTTGAAAAGACGAGATAGAGAATTAGTATTCATTTGGTAGTGTTTGGTACTATACATGAACTACAGAACAGAGTGAAGTAAAATTTATTTTTAAGTGAAAGAAAAATCAATAAACTTTAAACCAGAAATCAGAATACACTATTTGATCTTGTGGAGTAGATTCAGTCAGTAGAAATTTGGACTGAGTGTTTTTCCCGCCTTGGTTTATCACATTGACAAGGAATCTTCATGTTTTAGTACACCAAACTTACTTTATGCCTGCAAGTAGACATGGAAGAAATGCAGAGTGACAGCTGCCTGGATAAGCAAGCTCAGATCTGGTAAGCTTTTTCCCTTAATTCTGAATATGTACTTTCTAACGTCATGTTATTTTCCCCTCCTCTTTATTTTATCTTTTTATCTTTTGAGATATCTTGATTTGTACAGACTTCACTGTGGTATGGGATGAAGATTATTACAGAGTGATGCAATTATATTTTTTTAACTAGAGTAGTTCTAGATATGTCTGTCAGGACACAACTGTAATGCCAATAGAAAACAGACAGGCTCTTCCTTGTAAACAACATCTCAGTGATTAAAATATTGGGGGCAGGGGAGTAGGATAGAAATAGATCAGCCACTTACGTTGAAAATGCATTATTCTGCTTTTCACATCGTATTCCTTTGCAGTTGCCCTGTTCATTTGTCTCATAGTAGAAGTAGAGCTGGTTCAATCCATTTGCAAAAGCTAGCAGCACAAGGCAGTATATGAAAAGAAACTTCAAAATATCCAGCAACATTCTTCCTAGAGATATCTGCAGAGGTCCCAGGTGAGAATTTGCAGTGAATAATGAGATCAAGCGTAGGGAGCTAAAGATGTTTGCAATTGCAAACAGGGCCTCAGCCACCAGGGTTGGATGCCACATGTCCCAGCTCTCCCGTGGAACTAACCCGCTATACTGAAAACAAGCAGAAAGGAAGAAATTACTCCTCTACTTTTATGCATTAACAAGTATGTCAGTTGCTTTATAAGCTGTCAATTAATTTGCACATAGCACAATAAAACTAAACGTCTTTTGGAAAGCAACATGTCTTCAGGAGAGTTTTTTATTCTAGCAAAACAAAAAATGGGCAGTACCCACGTCCTTGTCCTTCATTTTTATCTGCAGGATGGTCTATGCTTTCTAGTCTTTTTGCCTGCGTTTTGCATTTGGTTATAATTTCCACAGTAGCAAAACCAAGTCTAACAATTATGACTGAGAGTAAAAGGATCAGTTTTTGAAAACTTGGCTTTTTAGAGTTATAGAAAAAGTCAGCTGTGTAATCAGGTACATTATTTCTTTGGAGAACAGCGATGATATGACAACGATGGATAGAAACCCACAAGAACTTTGGTAAGTTGGAAGAAAATGTTTAATCAACAAATAAGTATATTGCTTAATCACTAACACTGGACCAATGATGAAAAAGCTCTCTATTAATGAACCATGGCAAATTGCTTGTGTGTCTTATTACCAAAGAGTCTGATCCCTGGAACTGTGACTCTTTACTGTTCCAGCTCTAGCCATCTTGGAAGATGAAAGATATTACTTTGAACTGAGGTTTAACTGCTGTGGCAGACTCATTATTATTTATTTGGTCTCACTAATTTGTTTTACAGAACATACCAGAGGACAGAATCTATGCTATGAAGCACTCTAAAAGGATGGGATAATACAATATGAAGCAGATTTCAAAAAGGGACTATGATGCAGTCTGTATTTACCTACTCTACGCCACCAAGATGCATCCTTCAGAGGTGCTGAGAACGCCCTCAGTGAAGGGGTCTCTTCTGTGTCACTGGGGCCAGATGAAACAACATGGCCAGGCATCACAACACTTCCCCACCACACTCACCCTCCAAGGAAGGTGACTGCTCTCAAAGTGGTCTAAGACCACCTGAGCAACCTGAACATACATAAGTCTATGAGACCTGATGAGAGGAATCCCAGAGTCCTGAGGGAATTGGCTGATGCAGTTGCCAAGCCACTCTCCATGATATTTGAAAAGTCATGGCAGTTAGGTGAAGTCCTTGGTGACTAGAAAAAGAGAAACACTGCGCCCATTTTTAAAAAGGGTAGGAAGGAGGATTCTGGGAACTACCAACCCATCAGCCTCACCTCTGTGCCTGGCAAGATCATGGAACAGATCCTCCTAGAAGCTGGGCTAAAGCACGTGGAGGACAGGGAGGTGATTTGAGACAGCCAGCATGACTTCATCAAGGGCAAGTCTTGCCTGACCAACTAGTGGCCTTCTATGATGGAGTGACTACATCAGCGGACAAGGGAAGAGCCACAGATGTCATCTGTCTGGCCTTCTGTAAGACCTTTCACAGAGTCCCCCACAACATCCTTCTCTCTAAATTGGAGAGATATGGATTTGATGGGTGGAGTATTGGGTGGATAAGGGATTGTCTGGATGGTCACATACAGAGGGTAGTGATCAATGGCTCAATGTCTGGATGGAGATCAGTGATGAGTAGTGTCCCTCAGGGACCCATATTGGGACCAGCACTGTTTAATACTTTCATCAACAACATAGTGGGATTGAGTGCACCCTCAGCAAATTTGCATATGACACTAAGCTGAGTGGTGTGGTTGACATGCCTCAGGGATGAGATGCCATCCAGAGGGACCTTGACAAGCTCAAAAGTGGGCCCATGTGAATGTCATGAGGTTCAATAAGGCCAAGCGCAAGGTCCTGCACCCGGGCTGGGGCAGCTCCCAGTGTCAATACAGGCTGGGGGATGAAGGGATTGAGAGCAGCTCTGTGCAGAAGGACCTGGGGGTATTGGTGGACGAAAAGCTGGACATGAGTTGGCAATGTGCACTTGCAGCCCAGAAAGCCATCCGTACTCTGGGCTTCATCAAAAGTACTGTGGCCAGCAGGTCGAGGGAAGTGATTCTCCCCCTCTACTCTGCTCTGGTGAGACCCCATCTGGAGAACTGCGTCCAGCTCTGGAGTCCTCAGCACAAGAATGACATGGACCTGTAGAAGCGGGTCCAGAGAAGGGCCACAAACATGGTCAGAGGGCTGGAACACCTCTCCTATGAGGAAAGGCTGAGAAAGTTGGGGTTGTTCAGCCTGGAGAAGACAAGGCTCTGGGAAGACCTTATTAGCAGCCTTACAGTACTTAAAGGTGGCTTATAAGAAAGATGGGGACAGACTTTTTAATAGGGCCTGTAGCAAAAGGACAAGGAGTAACAGTTTTAAACCAAAGGAAAGTAGATTCAGACTAGATATAAGGAAGAAATTTTTTACAACAAGGGTGGTGAAACACTGCCACACGTTGTCCAGAAAGATGGTAGGAGCCTCATCCCTGGAAACATTCAAGGTCAGGCTGGACGGGGCTCTGAGCAACCTGATCTAGTGGAAGGTATCCCAGCTCACTGCAGGAGGGTTGGACTAGATGACATTTAAGGTCCCTTCCAACCCAAACTATTCTATGATTCTCTGATTTTATGATTCAAATTGCAGATAGGAACTGGGCATTATTTTGGACAGTGCTAGATGGCACAGGACCCCACCACACCAGAGCTGCTCTAACCAACCGGTAGTGCAGGTGAGACAGTCCCAGATCCTGACATCAACCCCTGGAACAGTTTTATTTACTTATATACAAGCAGCCATAGCATCTGATAGTCTTGTCAATTTGGTGATGAGAACTGCAAAACGAGAATAATAGTCCATTGAAGAGTTAAGAATTACTCAGCCTTACATTTCAACCATCAGTGACATTTGTTCTCTACAGAGTATGGAATTAAATTCAGACCTGCTGCTGTCATAGGTCAGTACTCTAGACTATCCTCTCCCTAACGATCATGCTGTAAAATCAAGTCTTACTGAATTTGACACTGTAGCTCCAAGTGAGATGCTATTCTGCCTCGTCTGCTGTTGCCCTTCAGTTCAGTTCTGACTGATTCAAGATCAGTGATGAACTAACAGGCAGCAGAAAACAGAACCGATTTAGCAGAGACATCAGCTAAGAGATAAAAGCAAGAAGAAAATGAAGAAGAAAAAAATTTCCGTGTTTATTGAGAAAAGAGACACCAGAACTCCTCAGCATGTTTTCTATAACACCTTTCTTTGAATAGTATTATACACTACATTACTGTGAATTCTGATGGCACTTTACAACCCTGATATGTACCTATTAAATAACTGGGAACAACTGTCAGTACAAGCAAAGATTAGGTGTTTAACAGTACAGTACATGCTCAGATTAAGGAAAAGTGCACAAGGTGTGCTGGGGGAATAAGGTAAAACAATGAAAAAATTTAAAGAAGATATTTGAAACTAAGAAGGATGGATTTTTTGGTAGAGAATCAGAAGCATCCAACTGCAGATGTATTTTAGATGAAGGCAAGTAGTGGCAGATTCCATGGAAGTTAAATAACCAGGGGGAAAAAAATGTCTAAGGTTCTGAGAAAAACATGGAACTACACTACACTGAATAAGGATAGCATATGATACAGTAAGAGAACAAGGATTAAGTTAAACTAATTAGGTGTGAATAACCACATTTGTGCTCTGTCACCTCCTTTTACAGTCAGAAAAGAAAAATGGGCATTTCGAGAGTAGTAGGAAAGCAGATATCCCAAACAGGTCAGATGAGTTACTCTTTAACTTTCTCTGTTGCTCCTCATTGACTATTGTTGTAGGGGAGAGGTTATCTTATAGTTGTGGTCTGACAAAATGTATCCAGTGTCACCTTTTCTAGAGGAGATAAGGTTAAGGAGAAATGTGAGAAGAAAAGACTTTATCTATAACATTCTGGATTGAGACACAAAACTGGCGTGTTAAAACAGTCAGGAAAGATCAAATGACCCCTTATGTGCAAAAGGGAAATCAAAGGCACGACCGTGGTATTTCAGCTTAACTGACTCTGCCTTTCTTGGGCCCAAGTGCTTCCCACGTGTGTGGATACAATGCAAAAGGTCTCATGGTTGTAAGCAGAGAGTGAGGGCTGTTATTTTAGTTTGAAGAGAATGGAAGTACTTGGCTGAGAAATAGTGATAAAGGTGAAGGCCTGAGAATTAAGTTTGGAAATGATCTGTGAAATATACTAGCTGAAAGAAAACAGCAAATAATATAAAGAAGATGACGAGTATAAAAGGGCTCTGACAACAAAACCCGACTTACTCCACTGACGAGAGGATGCTGAAAACAAATCTCAAAATATCAAAGCAGGGCCAGGAAAACAATGAAGTGCACATGTGAAAAGGAAAAGAAAGCAGAGGAGCAAAAAGACTACGAATATTAAAACCAGAAAAGAGTGAAAATATGAAAAAAAGAAAAAACTGCATTTTAGGACAAAACAACCCAAAACATGCAGAAGTGAAGTGTTTGTTCTCTCTATCATGCTTGTTGATATTCTTCTGTTCTATGAAGAAGAAATAAATGGTTATTGTTCTGGGGAATGGAAAGTGGTAAGAGCAAATATAGCAACACTGAGCTTGTTGTAAATTATGATGTTGATATTTTCAGTCTTCCTTCAATATTTTCTGACCCTGATGAATTTCTGTCCTCACTTCAAATGCAAACACAACCTCTTGACATGTAAAAAAGCCAACCATAACTTAATGTGATTAACTAATACCTCTCATTGGCTTGTTGAAGGAAATGTACATGGACATCAATGGAAAATTAAGATGCACAGAAAACAAATTAAGCAGCATATAAACAGAATATTTTCAAGACAAACACAGGGAGTACAAGATGAATAATTCTTGATCCTTACTCAAAGGAATTTAAATGCAAATCTAATATCAGAACCATTTTTGAGAAAAAAAAAGCTGAGTGATCACTGTTTTCCCATGAAAACAAAAATCATGAACTGTAGATCCCACAAAAGCACCAAGAGAAATCAAACAGACATCTAAGTCAGGCTACCTGAATGTTTAATGGGCTGTTGGACCTT